TTCTTTTTAAAAATTTGTTTATTTATTTATTTATTTATTTATTTTTGGGACGGAGTTTTGCTCTTGTTACCCAGGCTGGAGTGCAATGGCGCGATCTCGGCTCACCGCAACCTCCGCCTCCTGGGTTCAGGCAATTCTCCTGCCTCAGCCTCCCGAGTAGCTGGGATTACAGGCACACGCCACCATGCCCAGCTAATTTTTTGTAGTTTTAGTAGAGACGGGGTTTCACCGTGTTGACCAGGATGGTCTCGATCTCTTGACCTCGCGATCTACCCGCCTCGGCCTCCCAAAGTGCTGGGATTACAGGCTTGAGGCACCGCGTCCGGCAAAATTTGTTTATTTTTTAACAAAGTTCAGCACTTTGGGATCCTGAGGCGGGTGGATGGCCTAAGGTCAGAGTTTACTTTGGACCAGCATGGGAGAGCAAATCTCCATGGGCCTTGGAGTAGTGTAGATTTATGATTTATTATCAATTTCTGCTTCGGCACTAGCTTACTGTGTAGGGTAACCTTTAGCTCTGTAAGTCTTAATTCTTTTTCATCTCTAAAATGGGGATGTCACCTAGCTCAAAACATTGTCTCAAGAGTACAGTCTTCAAAACACCTAAAATTTTATATATATCAATAAATAAAAAGTTTTAAAAGAGGCTAGGCATGGTGGCTCATGCCTGTAATCCCAGCACTTTGAGAAGCTGAGGCAGGAGAATTGCTTGAGGCCAGGAGTTCAAGACCAGCCTGGGCAACATAGCAAGACCCTGGCCCTCCAAAAATATATTTTTTTAAACGAACAAGCCAGTAAAAAACTGGCAAAATATATGAACATGCTAGTTACAGAAGAAGAAAAGCCTTTTATAGAGTCAAACATGAGAAAGGACGTCTGGCCTCACTGATGATCAAAGAAATGCAAATCAAAGCAACAATGTGATATAATTTTTCAGATATCAGATTGGCAGAGATTAAAAAGATTCATAATACCTATGTTGGCAAGGGTTTAGGGAAGCAGGCAGTCTCATACGCTGGGGCGTGAGTGTACATTGACTTTGTACATGTGTGGGGTAGTTTAGCCCTGCTTGTTAAAACTGTAAATGTTCATACTCTTTATTCCAGAAGTTGCTTTCTTAGAAACTTAATTTTTCTTTTTAAATTTATTTTTATTTTTAAAAATTTATTAACAAAGTTCAGCTTTCTGATTCAGGCAACTTATTTTTTATATATACCTGTACAAACGGGCAAAAACGTATGTATTATTGTAATGCCATATCAAAGTGGCAACAACTCAAATGTCCACTAGTAGAGAATTTGTTATGATACAGACATGAAATGAAATACTATGCAGAAAATGAAAGGAATGAGGAAGCACTCTTTTTATGTGAAGAGGTGTTCACAGGCCAGGTGCAGTGGCTCATGCCTGTAATCCTAGCACTTTGGGAGGCCGAGGCAGGTGGATTGCTTGCAGTCAGGGGTTCGAGACCAGGCTGGGCAACCCTGTCTCTACGCAAAATACAAAAATTAATGGGGCGCGGTGGCGGGTGCCTGTAGTCCATCTACTCAGGAGGCTGAGGCGGGAGGATTCCTTGAACTTGGAAGGTGGAGGTTGCAGTGAGCCGAGATAGCACCACTGCACTCCAGCCTGGGCAGCAGGGTGAAACTCTGTCTCAGAAACAAAAAACAAAGCAAAGCAAACAAAACTTCATAGAGGCTAGGACCAAGAGCGCTAAACACTCATTAGCAACATGACAAGTGAGTTCTCTTTTCAGATCTGTTAGGACAGAAGCATGTAGGGGTGCCATAATTCACTGATTCATTCAACAGACATTGCTGAGTAGCTGCTGTGAGTCAGGCACTGCGGTAGGTGCTGGATTTATGTAAACAGATAACTACTCACAACATTATAGGGGATGCTGTGATAGGAGACAGCAACTTCCATGTGTCGTGGTAAGGATAAAAGAGGAATCATTGGCAGCATTGAAATAGGAACTCCGAAAGGGCAGGGACTTTTTTTTCTCCATAACATTTTGGAACAGTGCTTGGCACATAGTCGTTGTTTGATGTATGAAATTTGCTAAATGAACGAATGAATGAATCTGTGGAGTCAGGGTTCCCAACAGAAGATGCATTTGCGTTAGGATAATTTGAGGAGGGGCTCCTTATAGGGAGATAGAGTTATGTGTGCACTGTAGGAGAATCACAGTGACCAGGCAGGATCCCAGGCTGGTGGAGAGACATCGTCACAACCCCTAGGCTGGCAGGGAGGAGAGGACTGAGGTTGCTGGAATGGGAGGGGACCAGACTCTCCCTCCCTCTGATCTCCTGCCAAATCTACACAGGAGTCACAGGACAGAGAACCCAAAACAGTCCACCCAGGTTGCCTAGAGCGTACCTCAAGATGTCTTTCGCAGACTCCTGATACCTTACAATGGTATTGGGCACCAAACTCCATGAAGAACCCTGTGAGGTAAAGAGTATCATCCCCATTTTACAGCTGAAAACAGTAAAAAATTGAAAACATTTTATAGACGAAACAGATGAGCTAGGTAACCTATCCAAGGTAATGGCCAGTAAGATGCTATTAACTACTGTGCTAAGAAATGCCATCATACTGTCCAGGATGGGCCACAGTGACGGTAAAGATAGCAGTGTGTCCTGGTGGCTGAGACACCCGCTTTTGGAGTCCACATACAGACTGGATTGTTGGAAGGGGTGGGGCAAATTACTTCTCTGGGCCTCAGTTTTTCCATCTGTACAAAGAGATAATATCCAACTTTTGGGAATTTTTGTGAGGATTAAATGAGACAACGATTATAGATGTTCAATACTTCATCGACTCCATTAAATAAGTGTTATGAAAAGAAGACCTTAACTCTGGCTGGCTGGGTGCAGTGGCTCATGCCTGTAATCCCAGCACTTTGGGAGGCTGAGGCCTGAGGATCACTTTAGCCCAAGAGTTCAAGACCAGCCTGGGCAATATAGTGAGACCTCATCTCTACAAAAAAAATTTAAAAATGAAATGGAGGATCACTTGAGTCCAGGAGGTTGAAGCTGCAATGAGCCATGATCATACCACTGTATTCCCATCCTACCTGGGTGACAGAGTGAGATCCTGCCTCAAAAAAAAAAAAAAAAAAAGAAAGAAAGACCTGGCCAGACGTGGTGGCTCACTCCTGTAATCCCAGAACTTTGGGAGGCCAAGGTGGGCGGATCACGAGGTCAGGAGATTGAGACCACCCTGGCTAACACAGTGAAACCTCATCTCTACTAAAAATACAAAAAATTAGCTGGGCATGGTGGCATGCACCTGTAGTCCTAGCTACTCAGGAGGCTGAGGGAGGAGAATCCCTTGAACCCGGGAGTCGGAGGTTGCAGTGAGCTGAGACTGCACCACTGTACTCCAGTCTGGAGACAGAGAGGGAGACTCTTCTGTCTCAAAAAAAAAAAATAAAATAAAATAAACTTTAACTCATACAAGACACGCAAGTGTTAAACCTTTGGAAATATGCCAGGATGCAAAGTGTTTCCTCTTGGGTTGGGGAGTATGGTTGTTCAATTTTTGTTCACTACTTGTATTTTTCCATTTTTGACCAGGACCACATGGCTTTGGAAGTCAGGAAAGCCAGGTGCTACCTCTGTCCCTCCCTCCTTTGCTTTTATCAGGGCCTCCTGTGTCCTTGCCTCTGCTTTCTCTGTTGGCCCCAGGCCTCTGGGCTCTGGTCTGAGCTGCCAGTGTGTGCAGCAGTGGTAGACCTTGTATTCCATGTAGGATTCAGTGACTTGAGGCCTTCCTTCCTGCAAACACCACCTCCCTCCTGAGGGTGGGGAGAATGTGGAGAGAGAGCCTGAGGCAACGCTTTGGATCCTGGTAACTTTCAGACTTTGATCCTAGTTTGACTTGTTTTCCAACTGGAGTTCTAATTGCCCAGCCTCCTGGAGCAGACTCTCCTTGCTATGAAATGATAGGTTATTAATATAATATTAATAATATTAATAATCATCCTGTAAAATGAGTATCATCCACATTTTATAGGTAAGAGAACTGAGGCTCAAAGAAATTACACCAATTTGGCTAAAATTGGCAGGGTGCAGTGGCTCACACCTGTAATCCTAGCACTTTGGGAGGCCGAGGCAGATGGATCACTTGAGGTCAGGAGTTCGAGACCAGCTTGGTTAACATGGCGAAATCCTGTCTCCACTAAAAATATAAAAATTAGCCAGGCATGGTGGTGCATGTCTGTAATCCCAGATATTTGGGAGGCTGAGGAAGGAGAATCACTTGAATCCAGGAGACAGAGGTTGCAGTGACTCGAGATTGCGCCACTACACTCCAGCCTGGGTGACAGAGCAAGACACTGTCTCCAAAAAAAAAAAAAAAAAAAGGCTAAAATTCTACATTTGGTAATTGGCAGAGTTGTGGCCAATTTGAGCCCTTTTGCTTCAAAGGCTGTACTTTTTGAAGCCTTCAGTATGTTTTTCAGAGAAAAAAGTTTTAATTTTCTAATTATGTAAACAACGCCAGATTACAATTGGAAAACACGTAAAGTAGGAGAAACACGCCCACGAAGCTGGAGCCAGTGCCCATGCTTCCTGTAGGATTGTGTACTTCGGTGTTTTCCAACATTATAGTACACGCCCTGTTCCATAGTATGAGTTCTGTGAAGCTTTATATTCAATGGTTGCCTAACCATCCCTCAGCGGATACACCATCATTTAAACAATTCCCTATTGTCAAACCTTCCAGCTGCTTCTAGTTCTTTATTGTCAGCAATGTGCTGCGAAGAACATGGTTTTATTCAGAAAGCTTTTTCTGTTTGTCCCGTTTCCTTAAGATAGTTTCCCAGAAGTGGAATGACTGGTTCAAAGGCTATTAGTATTTTAACCCTCTTCCTACATCTTGCCAAAGTATTCCCCTGGAGGGGGTCACCGTCTACTTTTCCTGCCAGCAGCTTGTGACAGTATTTTGAGGACAGCTTCCTATTCTAACTGGTTCTTTTTCTTCTCTCTGCAAAGCCTCATAAGAAGAATGGCTCAGAGCGTGGTGGAAGTCATGGAGGACTCGAAGGGGAAGGCACAGGAACACCTCCTGGCAAATGGAGGTAGGTGGGGTGGCCCTCTGATGTGGAGTGCGATCTCCTGGCTCTGTCCAAGACAGAGTCGCCTTGGTTGTGGCCACGCAGTAATCACTGAGTTGACCCAGGCCTCAGTGGATGCTCTGGGTTGACACATTGGGCAGAGCTCTGTACTCACTTTTTTTTGAGACAGAGTCTCACTCTGTCCCCCAGGCTGGAGTGCGGTGGCGCAATCTCGGCTCACTGCACCCTCTGCCTCCTGGGTTCAAGCCATTCTCCTGCCTCAGCCTCTTGAGTAGCTGGGACTGCAGCCACACACTGTCCTGCCTGGCTAATTTTTGTATTTTAGTGGAGACAGGGTCTCACTGTGTTTCCCAGGCTGGTCTCAAACTCCTGAGCTCAGGCAACCCATCTGCCTTAGCCTCTCAAAGTGCTAGGATTACAGGCGTGAGCCACTGAACCCAGCCAATTATTATTATTTTCTGAGACATGGTGTTGCCCAGGCTGGAGTGCAGCGATGTGATCATAGCTCACTGCACCCTCAACCTCCCAGGCTCAAGGGGTCCTCCCACCTCAGACTCTCGCTCACCACCACTCCTGGCTAATATTTTTTATTTTTTGTAGAGACAGCATCTCGCTATGTTGCCCAGGCTGGTCTTGAACTCCTGGGCTCAAGGGATCCTCCTGCCTTGGCCTCCCAATGTGCTGGGATTCCAGGTGTGAGCCACTGTTCCTGGTTGGTACACCACTTTAGCTCATCTGCATGGCTAAGTTTGGGAGCTGCGCCCCTTCATCAGTTACTGGCTCTGCAGTCCTGCCTCTACTCTAGCCCGCTGTTGAACTCCTCAGTGCGTTGGAGATGAACACGGGGTCCAGGGAGCTCAGCCGGGCTCCTACTGTTTGCCCTCCGCCCTCTCCAGAGTCACCGCTCTGCCCATCTGGGTAGTTCTGCCCTCCTCTCCTCACCTCCTCTGATTTACCCCTTTCCCCCAAAGAGGTGTGAAAAATGCCTTCGTGTGCTGAGGAAGGCCTCCAGCCAGTCTTCAGCTGCCATCAGGTCAATAAGAACAGAGGCCGTACCCGAAGGCTCCCTGCATGGCGTCACGCTGAGAATGTGGGCCTCCCGTGAGCTGATAGGACCAGCCTTTAGATTCCAATGACGTTTTGGCCCATTAACTGTGTGCGTACTATTTCAGTGCATTTAAAGTGTGCAAGACGAACCTTTGAGACTTTGGAAACTTTAGAATGAAATGTTGCCTGGGTGAGGTGGCTCCAGCACTTTGGGAGGCCAAGATAGCAGATCACAAGGTCAGGAGATTGAGACCATCCTGGCCAACATGGTGAAACTCCATCTCTATTAAAAATACAAAAATTAACTGGGTGTGGTGGTGCATGCCTGTAGTCTCAGTTACTCAGGACGCTGAGGCAGGAGAATTGCTTGAACCAGGGAGTCGGAGGTTGCAGTGAGCCAAGATCATGCCATTGCACTCCAGCCTGGTGACAGCGTGAGACTCCGTCTCAAAAAAAGACAAAAAAAGGGAATGAAATGTTTGAATATCTGTAGAGATAATTACACTTATGTGATTCTATGCATATATATATTGAAAATAAGAATATAATACTGGGCCAGTGTGGTGGCTCACGCCTGTAATCCCAACACTTTGGGGAGCTGAGGGGGATGGATCGCCTGAGGTCAGAAGTTCAAGACCAGCCTGGCCAACATGGTGAAACCCTATCTCTACTAAAAATACAAAAAATATTAGCTGGGTGTAGTGGTGCACACCTGTAATTTCAGTTACTTGGGAGCCTGAGGCAGGAGAATTGCTTGAACTCAGGAGGCAGAGGTGGCAGTGAGCCGAGATTGCACCATTGTACTCCAGCCTTGGTGACAGAGTGACACTCTGTCTCAAACGAACAAAAAACAACAATAGATAATACTGTATTTTGACTGTAACTTTTCCATGTTTAGAAATATTTAGGTATGCAAATACTGACCGTGTGTCAGTGCCGCAGGGTCCAGCACAGTCACGTGCTCTGCAGGTGTGCAGCCCAGGAGCAGTAGCTTCTGCCAGATAGCCTCGGTGTGTAGGAGGCTAGAGCACCTAGGTTTTTGTAAGTGCCCTCTGTGATGTTCACACAATGACAAAAATCTCCTCATGACACATTTCTTAGAATGTGTCCCTGTCATGAAGCAATCCATGACCGTATATACTACATATTTATCATAACATTTATATCATTTGTTATAAATATAACATATATTCATATTTTTCCCTCCTGAAAACATGAGGAGACTTTTTTTTTTTCAAGATGGGGTTTCACTCTTGTTGCCCAGGCTGGAGTGCAATGGCGTGATCTCAGTTCACTGCGACCTCCGTCTCCTGGGTTCAAGAGATTCTCCTGCCTCAGCTTCCCAAGTAGCTGGAATTACAGGCATCCAGCACCACGCCCAGCTAATTTTTTGTATTTTTAGTAGAGACAGGGTTTCACCATGTTGTTCAGGCTGTTCTCAAACCCCTGACCTCAGGGGATCCACCCATCTCAGCCTCCTTGGGTGCTGGGATTACAGGCGTGAGCCACTGCAGCCGGCCGAGGAGGCTTTTTATTTGGTTAAGTTGACAAATGAAAATGTTCCTACCCTCTTGGCTTTGTGTGTCTATGTGGTTTAATAACTCCACCTTATTATATTGCAGGCTTGAAAGAAAAGATGAAATGTTTAAAGAGTAGGTTATGCATTGTTTGCTGTGTCTGTGCTTGGTGTGACGCCCGCATGTCCCGGGGAGGTGGAATCTCGGTCTGGCTGTAGGGGTACAGCGATCAGGTTACGATGATTTCTCAAGTAACAACCTCGTAACTTGGTCATGATATCCACATGACACAGAGAGCCACTGTCTCATCCCCTCCCCTCTGTCCTGCTATCCCTGCCCCTCCTGAGCAGGCTGCATGCCACCTGGAAGCTGGGAACGCTTTGACCTTGCGAAGGTCAAGGTGAGCTCCCATCTCTTTCTGTGTGTGGTCTGCTTCTTGCTTCGATGTTGATTCGGTGTCCCGACTGTCTGCTCTTTGAGGCTGTCTGCTTTATGGACACTGGAAGCTTACACTCCAGGCTTCGCTTTGTGTGGCCTTGATTGGGGCTCAGACACACAAGGAGCCTCCCGGGGTGGTCCTGGTGCTCAAACAGGTCTTTCCTTGTGTGAATGTTAGAGGGAGCCATTTGCTTTGGATTTTCTCCAGCCCACTCAAACTGGTGGAATTAAAAATAGCAAATCATGAGGCCAGGCGTGGTGGCTCACACCTGTAATCTCAGCACTGTGGGAGGCCAAGGCGGGTGGATCACCTGAGGTCAGGAGTTTGAGACCAGCCTGGCCAACATGGTGAAACGCCGCCTCTTTA